GAACAAGTAATACAGAACAGGTTGCTTCATTTAATCTGCTAAGGAAGAGGCAGGGGAGGGAGATGGCTGCCAATGTCGGAAGTGGGGGTAGGAGAGAGGAAGAGCACTTACCTGGGTAAGTGGCCATTGTGGAGGGGAAGGAGGGTGGGGGGAAGGAGAGAGCTTATCTCCAGTAAGAGCTGTCTAGGGGGGAGAAGCAGGAGAGACCAGGGAGGGTGGTAAGGGGATCAGCAAGGTAGAGAAGGTACAGTTTACATATTCTCTTTGTTTGAACTAGAAATACCTGTTGCATGGGGGAGGGAGGGTATAATTGTCAGAGGCAGTGATATGCCGACAACGTTTTTGAAACAGGATGCCCTGCCCCTCACTCCCAACCCACAGTCCCCTATTCTCTCCAGCCCCCTTTTTTTTTTTTATTTATTTATTTATTTATTTTTTATTTGATGCCTTTTAAAATAAAGAATGTGGCCTTTGAAAGTCTTGAGTACATTTCCTAAAATCACAATTGTATCTGTGAATGGAGCTAGCTGTATTTAAAAAGGGGGAAAAAAGTTCACTGCTTCTATACAGTACTTTGACAACTATGACTTGCAATAGAGTATCTCCTAATCCCAGAAGTAGGGACAGGTAAATTTGTCAAGGTCTGGTACTCTGACCTATGTGAGGGGAGGACCTCTTGCCTGTTACAAATACAATACAATACAAAGTGATGCTCTGTGCTTATCAACTAATTGCTTTCTGTCACAAAACCTGCTTTGAACTACATTTGCCATTTTGTAGGATACCTTTATAAAATCAGTTGTGTTGGTTAGCAGCATTTAAATGCAAACACAAGTTGGGAGGGTTGTTGCAATTCTTTTTGAGAAGTTTTTAGATCAGATTGACACCAGCCCTACTAGTCTTCTTACATGATCAATGCTTTGGGTGTCAGTTACTTTGTGACCTGTACCTTTTTGTTTTTATTTGCATTCAGTGCTTCCAATCCCTGAGCCCGCTGTCTATTTTCCAGAGTAGAATTGCATGATTAGTCCGCTCTTCTGGACCATGGCTTTTAGTTCCCAGTATAAAACATCATCTGGTCTCCCTTCCTTCACATTCTACCTTCTCTAGTGCAGTGATCAAAGTCCTGACAGTTTTTCTTAAAGCTAGGCAGTTATTGAGGATCAATGCTTTTTGTAGAAAATGTTTTTGGTTTTTTGTTTTTTGTTTTTTAAAAAAAATTTTAATAGCATATTGTACACATTTGGCGTTGGGCAATTTATTTGGGCTGGAGGGCCACTTAAGGAGTCTTGGTGACTGTTGAGGGCTGGGGTGGGGGATGGAGAGATGCTATTTGGTCCTATCCAGCCCACTGCTTTTGCCACGCTGCACTAGGAAATTTGGAGGTGGTTACCCTGGGCTAACACCTTCCTCTCCACCCCCATGGCCAGTGTGGACTTGCCTCCTAGTGGTACTGGGGCAGCTTACCATGGCGGTTGGGTGGGACAGCTACTCAGCATGCTGCATTTTTCTCCATCCCGTCTGGGCCTGACTGCCGGTGACTGTGGTGCTGGATCTGCGACAGGAATCTGGCGGAGCAGAGGACGGTGGAAGAGTCTGGATATGGAAGGGGTAGAGGAGTCTGTGCCTTGCCCAGCCCAGCCCCGGCTATATCCGAGCAGATCAGTGTGGGGCACAGCCCGCCCTCGGGCTTTTGGTGGCAGTCGGTAGGCTGCATAGGATCAATTGGTGGGCTGTATTTGGCCCATGGGCCATACTTTGCCCACCCTGATCTAGCTTTTCCTTTTTTTCCTGAAGTTGGGAAAGCCCACTGCGTTTCAACTCCCTGGATAGTTTAGCAAGCAGCCCTCTGAGAGAACGTATTGTATACCGTTTAGTGCCCAAGCAGATGCCTAACTAGCTGTGTTGGTACTCTGGACAGAGTGGTGAGGGAGATGGTGCATTGTGCTGACCACTGCACAGTGTGGGGTGGGGAGAGGAGACATTGCACTTTGGTATGAGCTTGAGCTGCTGAAGTCATAGGACTAGTTCCCTAGGCCACAGCTGCAGGAGCCTCTGCTATGTGTGTGCTCTGTCTTGGGGTGGGGGGGCCATACCATTTTAGCATCCTCTCTAAATTGGTGCTCAAGGCTGCTAATCCTCAGTTTACCCACCTCTAGTTATGCTACTGTGTCAAAGTGATCTTAACTTTCCCAGCTGTTCAAAAATTTGTTTTCCTTTCATTCTGTTTGTGAGTATGCAGTGGGTAGTCTAGCTCAGTTTGTATATGTAATAGGCTTAGCTATTCTTACCTGAGAAACAACTTTGTTGCTCCATGTAAGCTGGAGAAATAGGAAGTGCTTGCAGTTCAGTATCTAATATCTTCTCCTCAGTGACCTTATTGCATAAAATGCTCATTCATCTGCTGTGTTACAAGTCCATTTTTGTCACGGAAGCCATTAAGAAAAGCTTTGTAGCTGGACACAGGGCACCAGCCTGAAGCCAGGTATAAACTCTACTGTAGAGTTATGCTGATAGATATACTGGTAAAGCATTCCTAGCGTGGATGCAGCATACTTCAGTAAAAACAGTTTTTTGCTGGTACGCTGTTTCACCTCTTTGTTTACCCCTTCCTTTTTCTTCCCCATCACTCCCCAGGGAAATGATTCTTAACTGCAAAAGCATAATGTCCTGATTATAACTGCAGTGATCGGGGGCTGCTGCTGGCACTGCTGTATAGGTCACAAATTCTCCTGCATAACCCTGGCCAATATAGCTCTAGAAAGAGGTCTGGAGTAAATGTGGCCTTAGAATGATATTTTCACATTTCTTGGAGTTAGACAATTGCTTTAAGTGTCTATTTGCATAAGAGTTCTGTTTGCTGGTGTAGCTGAATCCTCTTTCACACATAATGCACTGTTGCCAATCTACACACCAGGGATGATTAATACATCAACAAGTAGTTTGTACTGTAAATTGTTTCTTTCACAAGCTTAATGACCTCTTAGGCTTTCATTCCTTGGTTTCTGAAGTATTAAACTGAGACTTTATTCAAGCTTGAAATTAGACACCGGCATATTTCACTATTTGTCTTGAAAGGTACTGTTTTTCTTCTAACATGCATGGAAAGAAAAACCTGTAAGACCAGAGGACTAACCACTAAAGACCAAATATATTCTTTTTAATACTGCAACTCCAGTGATGTCACTGTCTCTGCAGGTCTAGGGAAAAAAAGACCTATCTGGGTCTCTCTGTTTTGAGAGCTGCTTCTCAAATATGATTTATAGTGGCTGTTAGTCAACACTTTTCAAGCTGTATACTCCATGCTGTTGCTCTTAAGGAGCAGGTCTGTATTTAAAAAAATAAATAAATAAAAAAAAAAGTATGAAGTCGGGGTGCAGATAGGAATATTTGGTCCTAGGTACCACAGTTTTGTGGTGTATGTATGGTGGTGTTTCTTTGTTTTTATTTTTTATTTTGTTTTAACTTAAATTTGGTGTCTCCTTTTTTTTTTACATGTAGCACCAGCTCTTTTAGATTTCATAGTATATACCTTACTTTGACTCTGAGGTAGTGTTACAGACACAAAGTTTGTTTGTGCTAAATACAGCAATTTAACTGTCATGCTCTAAAATAGAGCCAGACCATTTGTTAAAGTACTCTGCCAGTTCACTGCTCCAGGGAGCTTTGCATTTGTTTGAACTTCTGTCTTAAGTGCTGTATAATTCTGTTCTTCTCTGGTGTGACAGCACTGGGATTACCAGCAATGGCTGCAAAATCTCATTGTGAGAGACCACTTGCCTAGGACCTTGTCCAGAACTGATGTAATGGCACGAGGCTGAGAGCTCTGTGTATCCGGGAACATAGAGTCTCTGTTTATGTTGGATCCATCAGTGAATCCTACCACCCATAGTAACTAGTCACCAGCAACCTAAATGCTTTTGGTGTCAACTGAAACTAATATCTTGGGGGTTTGGGTTGCTCTAATTAGGTTGCTGTTGTGCTATGTCACCAAGCTTGATCATGCATAGAAGGTTATGAATGGGAGGAATTCTTCCTACTGTTTAGTGGCTGCTAATGACCCCAAATGCTGCCCTCCCTCTTCTTCTGCTGCCCCCCTCCCCCCCCCCCCCCACCCACCATCTGCAAAAGAGGGAAGTGGCGCGGGGCATCAATATGAGGAAGTGGTGAGGGAGTTGAAGAGCTTGGGGTGAGTCTGCTGCAAATCTGTTGTCACAGGCCTGTGGCTTGAGAATGACTGACTAGTTAATGGAACAGATCCTTAGTCCCCTACTGAAATTTGATAGCCTCTCTGCAATTGATAAGTCTCCTTCATTTGCTTATAGATACAGAGGCTGAAGCAGAAGAAACGTGACTCCTTGTCTTGCTACTTGTCAAAGTGTCTATGGCAACAGTTTATATATAATTTGGGGAATTTTTAGCAAACTGTGTTAACAATATTATCAGTTTGTTGCATGGTGGCAGTGCTTGTGCAAATGTGTTCCAATTGCTCGTAATGGGAATATTACTGGATCCTGTTTTAGTCCCTTGTTTTTTAGCTACCTCTGCCATGGTTCCATAGCTTAGACTTCACATTGGGCTCTGCTTCTGGAGTACCCCTCTTGTTCACCTGATCTAGTGGAGCTCTAGAGGTGATCCTGGGAACTACAGACCTAGTGAGTTTCAGTTCTGCCCCTGGCAGGTTGGTAGAATCTATAATAAAGAATAAAATTAATGATCACATGGACGAACATAATCTTCTGGGGAAGAACCAACATGTGTTTTTTGTTTTTTGTTTTTTTTTAAATAAAGTAAATCCTGCATCACCAATCTGCTTGAGTTCTTTTGAGGGTGCCAGTGAGCATATGGGTAAGGGGAAATCCAGTTGACATAATACACTTGGACTTTTAAAAAATTTTTGACAAGGTCCCTCATCTAAACTAAAACTGGTGGATGTCAGGAAGATAATGGATTGAGGATGAATCACTCCTATGTCTGTCCAGTTAAATGTTCTCCTTTTTAGAATCTTCTTCTTCCACTGTCAGACGAGATGCTAGCTTAAATGGACCATTGGACTGACCCAACATGGTACTTATGTTCTTATAGTATTCTGTAGCTGTTAATGTTGTGGTGCTTCTCAAATGGGTGAAAGTATGAATCCCTCCAAACACCAGTTGGTCCAGGGCCTCTTCAAGGGTCCATCCAGAAGTATGCAGAAAATGGCAGCTTTAAATAGTTCTAGCAATTTTCTACTGCCAAGCAGAGAAAATGGATGCCCCTGCCTGGATGTCCCTGCATCTAAGCAGAGGTAGAAGCTTGTCAAGAGGACCCTGTAACAAAGTACTTTGGGGAGAGAAGGTGTGGGGGTGGGATGGCACATTAACACAAACTAGTTAATGTGATGTGGTAGCTCCAAGAAGATTAAATTTAATGGGGCAATAAATGGCAGAACAAAAATGAACTTCAAAGAATATATATAGTGTGTGTGTGTGTGTGTGTGTATATATATGTGTGTGTATATATATAAAATTTTTTTTTTTTATTTATTTTTTTTGTCAGATGACATCAGCAGACAGACATGACACTCGTCGTACGATTGGCTCCTAAACAGAAGAGCATGGCTGTAGAGCACTCCAGTTGCACAACCCTCTTGTGCAAGGGTTCAGATGAAGATGTTCCTTTATGAATTTTTCTGCTCTGGCTGCAGCACAGCCTGGCCTCAGCTGCTGTCTCTGGATGGGAGGGGAGGGAGGTCCACTCGGGGATTTTCTAGACCCTACTGGAGTGGGGGTAGAGGGGAATGGATTGGAGTCCCTCACCTCAGAGGGAGGGGGCTCCAATTTGCCCACTCCACTCCAGCAGGACTGAGAATCCCAGAACAGGCCTCCCTTTCCTTCTGCCTTCCCTCTCCCTTTCCTATCCAGAGATAGCAGCAGACCTGCAAGAGTTGGGGGCTGAGGTAGGGGGAAAGGCTGCATAGACACAGATTCTCTCCTTGTATTGACTCGAAATTGAAGCCAATCCTCTACTCTCCCAGTGCAACAGCTAACATTCTTTGGGTCAGGAGGACTGATCCAATTCATGGTGCTTTCTGTGAATCGCCATGAGTTGCACCTGGGAACTTCTGTCTGTGCCCCTAGTGACTGTTTTAAAGCAGTAATTCTGAACCAGGGTTCCATGATACTGATGCCATAAGATCTTTTTAAGAGGGTTCTAGAATGCCAATTAAGTGATTCAAAAGATAAACCAAACAGTTCCAAATAAGCATCCATAGTCTCAAAAGCATTTCAACCTATATAGTCTTTCCGGTATTTAATAATTTTTGCCCCCCCCACCAATAGTCAAGAAGCACATGAAAGCTAAGATCTGACTTGAGGCACCCCTCTCAGAGGGGTCCCCTAAGTCGAAGAGGTTGAGAACTACTGGGTTAAAGTATTTATACAAGTAAATTTTCAGTCTAAAATTCTTTAGAAGGCTGAATGGAGATTCAGACCTTTTTGTTCCCTTGGGGGGAAAAAAAAAATCTGTTTCTGTTCCATATTCCTTTTAATAATATCTGGATCTTCTGTTAATCCAATATGTGGGAGCTTGCACCCCCTTAATTTGTATGCTTAAATCTGGAGGAGTTGCTGTTTTAAAATTTGCATGCAAGTAAGTCTGGCCTGATGGCTTCAGTTTTAATTAAAAGCAGGATATGAAACTTTTAAGGGGAAAGAACAGAATTCCACTTCTTTGAAGCAGTTTGTGGGGGGGTGAGGAGGTGTTTTGCTTCTGGCTTGTTGCCTGCCTGAATTGCAGGGCAGCATTTGGGTGCAGGGAACCATACAAGCATACAGCCTTAGCAGGGATCCAACATGGCATGGGGTGGGGAAAGGCTGGAGGGAGGGGAAGACTCTGCCTCCACCTTCCCAGCCCCTGCCAATCCCTGCCTTCATTCACTTAAAAGCCTGCAAAGCTCTCTGGGCTACATGCTTTAGGAACCCCTGGCAGCTCAGTGTCCACAATGCAGGCTCACTCTGGTTCTCTGAACTTCTGTACAGGTCAGTCTTTCTCTCGGGGAAAGAAAAGCAAACCTGGTAGAGTAGTTGTGGATGATGTGATTTTAATTTGTGTGTGCAGCTGAAGATGGGATGTTCTAGATTGCATGGGAGAACACCAAATCCTACAGCTATGGGGGATGTGACTTGCCTATTGCATAAGTGAGTGAACCATTTATAGTTGTTATAGAAAGTGAACAGGAGGGGAAAAAAAACCAAAACTTTTTTTAATAAAATAACACTCAAACAGGATATGACTTATTCCCTATCCTGAATCTAGTGTAGAATGTAGTGGGGTACACTAGTCCTTGTTGAATCTTAAATACTGGCAGCTTGTCCACAATGGCACCACCCTGTTCCAGCATAATTGTATTTGGCATCTCTCCTTCTGCATGTTAGATTTAAGAAAATCTTCATTAAACTGCTTGCTTTTTAGAGAGTGCGTAGCTGGATTATGACACTTGGGTTAAAATGCTTCAAAAGATGAACTTTGCAACCCCTGTATACTGTATAGCAATGTTAATGAAGGATGTAAGCCATGCAAGTATGCTTTAGTGGATATCTTCTTGCTATGCTAGACAGCCTAGAACATAACACTTAATCCAGTGCTTGTTGGTTTTTTTTTTTTTTATTTTTTTTTTTTAAATAAGGAAACTCCAGTACACAGTTTGAAGGATGGAGCGTGCTATAAGTGACAGTGTTACAGAAGACCAACATACCTTTGTCCCACTTTACCTCTTACCAAAAAAGAAATATTGGAGACTCTCTGAAATTGAAGTGATTAAAGACAACTCGTACTTTAACCAGTTTAAAATCTCTGGCTATTTGTTTTGGGCTTTGTATGTTTATCTTGGGATTTTTTTTTTTTTTTTTAGTTTTCACTTAATGTATTCCATTTTGGTGAAATGATATCATTGTTCGTTGTAACCAGAGAAAATGAGGAAGGAAGCAACATCATAGACACAGTGGCAAACCTAGCTGTGCCTCCTAGGATAAATATATTAATTATGGTGCATTACATTCCAGACAGTATATGGAAATGGATAATAAAAAAGTGTCTGTTTCTTCTTCGTTTTTCTATCTCTCTTCCAAGTATTAAGAGAAATCTTTACAGAGAACAATTATGACTGTAATGAGATGGTTAGAGCAAACAGATAGTAGCAAATGTAATAATACTGCTTGCACTAGTTATTGTGGTGACACATTAATTGCAGTTCATTACAAGATCTAGTGAGATTTGGCATGAAATGTCACTAATACTGGCTTGTCCCATAATTTGATCCTCTACTTTCTAACAGCTGAAGAGGCACTCAGTCATGTGTATATATGGGAGCTTAGAGTAATACAATTTGTTTATTGTCTCTCAGCAAAGATGTAATTCTTGCTAAAATGCATAGAATCAGGGTTGACCCCTCCAGCATCATTTTATCTTTTTCTGCATGGGGTTGGGCATGTGCCTAAATCATCCTTGACCAAAGCTTATCCGATTTCTGCTTCATAACCTCCAGTGGAGGAGATTTTGCAACTTCCTTGAGCAGTGTATTCCATCATTTTACTGTTCTAACAGTAAGGAATCTTTCTCTGAAGCTATTCTAGTATGAGACTGCTGGAATAGAATCTGATTCTTGGGATTCTGACGCTGTAAAGGATTTCCTATGAATAAGGAAACAAATCCAGAATGGGTTTGGAGTGTAGGCTCAGGGGTATATCACTCCTCCACCCCATGGAGCCAGATCAGAGCCTTGGGGCTGGTCTGTGGGCTGGATTGGGCTCACAGACTGGCCTTGTATACTGGAGCCAGTGGGCATGCTGGGCTGGCCCTGTCTGCTGCATGCCTGGGGCACATGTTGCATACAGTACACAGGGTAGTCTGTGGGCTTGATCCAACCTGGCCTCAGTTCTGTGCACAGAGCTGGTCCAGCATGGGTGTAGCATATGCCAGACTGACTCTGCATGCATTGTGTGGGGCTGGGCTGGGCCTGCCTACTCAAAGACCTGTAGGTAGTATTGCAGGCCAGATGGTTTTTGAAACACCTTGTGGAGCTCTATTCATTTCTCAAAATTAGCACTTGTAGACATGCCCAGCGAGTACTTAGAAGCATTAGCCATTTTTAAGGCACGTTAAGGTTGCAGGTCTACATGTGTATAGCCCCAAATCACCATTTTTAAAAGTGAATTAAGGGTAACTGAACTTAAATTCGATACCTGCATAAAGCAGGCAGAGCTCCCACCCTCAGCACCCAGCCTGCCAGGCTGAGCCACACAGAGCCCCCAGGAGCTCATGCTGCCTCTCCCATGGGCAGTGTCCAGCAGGGAGGCTGGGTGTTTGCTCAGGACAGAGTTGGGTG